GTGTGCAGGAGGCAGCTGATCGGTGTTTCTCTCTCATCGATGTTTCTAACTCTCTATCCCTCTCCCTTCCTCTCTGTAAAAAATCAATAAAATATATATTTTTTAAAGTCAATAAAACATATTTTTAAAAAATAAGTTATTTGCTTAATCTCTTCCTGCCCTGTTTTTGTCTTTTTTTTTAATTTTAGCCCATATTGTGGGTATGAAGTAGTATCTTGTGCTTTTTATTTGCACTTCTCTCTTCATGTGCTTGTTGGTGACAGGGTTTAGGACACCCTACCCCAGTTTACTATTCTTAGCTCATACCCTTTTTATCTTATCACATTTTTCCATAACTCTACTCTTCATCAAACCTAGCATGAAAGCACTCAGGTTTAACTGCTTCTTCAGGTCTTCATTTTCTTATAAAAGCTCCTGTGTAATACAAAACTTATATTAAATAAATTTGTATGCTTTCCTCTTGTTAATTTGTCTCTTGTTACAGGGCCCTCACCCAAGAATTTAAAAGGGTTCAGGGAACTTTTTTTTCCTCCTCTACATTGGTCATTTTTACATTTTCATTGAAGAAATTTCTATTCAAATCTTTTGCCCATTTTCAAATTGGGTCATTTGTCATTTATTATTGTTGTAAGAGTTCTTTATATATTGTAAATACAAGTCCCTTATCAGACATATAATTTCCAAAATTTTTCTTCTCTTCTGTGGGTTATTATTTCACTTTCTTGATAGTATTATTAGCAGCACAGAAGTTTTTTATATTGAAGTTCAGTTTATCTTTTTTTGTCACTTGTGTTTTTGCTATCATATCTAAGAAATCATTGCCTAACCCAGGGTCATGAAGATTTAATGTATTCCTGTACTTTATTCTGAGAGTCCTACAGTGTGAATCCTCCAACTTTATTCAAGATTATTTTGGCTTTTCCAGGTCCCTTGACCTTCCACAATTATCCACTGTTTTTATAAATGTACTGGAGGCCTGGTGCATGAATTTGTGCACGGGTGGGGTCCCTCAGCCTGGCTGGCAGTCAGAGCCAATCAGGGCTGTCTCGCCCAGTCCCAATTGATTGGCCAGCCAGGGGGAGGGACTGCGGGAGGTTGGCTGTGGGAGCACACTGACCACCAGGGGGCAGACACTCAACACAGGAGCTGCTCCCTGTTGGTCAGTGCACTCCTACAGCGAGAGTGCCGCGCAGCTGACCAGTCCCAGTGGCCCACAAGCCCGGTGGCAGCCACTCACTCCCTCAGTAGTCTTGCGGTCAAATCTCTGGACTTGTAAGTCTATTTCTTTCACCAGGTAGGGGAAGTTTTCTGTCATTATTTCTTCAAATAGGTTTTCAATATCTTGCTCTCTCTCTTCTTCTGGCACCCCTATAGTTCGGATGTTGGTATGCTTGAAGTTGTCCCAGAGGCTCCTTACACTATCTTCATATTTTTGGATTCTTTTTTCTTTTTGCTTTTCCGGCTGGGTGCTTTTACTTCTTCATACTTCAAATCTTTGACTGTATTCTTGCGATCCTCTAGTCTGCTGTTGGAGCTCTGTATACTATTCTTTATTTCAGTCAGTGTATGCTTAATTTCTAGTTGGTCCTTTTTCATATCCTCGAGGGTC